AACCGTCGTAACCGGGTCGCAGGAAAAAAGCTTTTAGCGATTACACTTTTCGCGTGCTAATTCCCGTAAATGTGAAGCGGAGATGGGGCCAACCACTCGCTAAAGGGCGAGCTTAATCAGCTGTACGTACTTTGTAATCCTATAACGGGACCATCTATTATTACAGAATATGTAAATTAAAGATTGTGGAATTGAAGGTTGGAGGGAACCAACTGAGTCAGTTCAGAGAGTATCGAAAGTCACTGCGAATAATTTTTAAGTATGTTGTTGATACGTAAATAATGAAAATTCTCAATGTGATATTTTTCTGTATTACTGTCACTATAATTTTTTTCGAAGACAGATCATATTCTTGGAGTAATATGTTAAGCACTATACATATGTATAATGGAAAATACATAGTTGATAAAATAGATTATTTTTATGTGTAATACTGCTTGGGTCGTCAGTATAGTTATACATTAGAAACAATGACAAGGAAGTAGAAACACGCTGATTAGTAATAATTTCTTTACATATTTCATAAATCTAAGAATACATCTGAAGAGACGAGATTAAGAAAAAGTGTTTAAAGTCGTAACAACGTTACAAAAAACGAAAATGTGATTGGTTCGAAATAGACTTGAAGACCATAGCAGGGTTAAATAAAAAATGTTGTTTTTATATAGAGAAATTCCTATTATTTATGCATCATTGCAATATATTTTAGGTCATGGAACGTGTTGTTTCCTAAATAGGTATAGTATTATCCACATAAGATCGTCTTCTGACAGCACTACATCGTGGCATTGCTATTCTCCTGTGCATAACACAGGATACGTACATATGTCTCATATCGCCGTGAACATATTAATAAGGTAAATGGATTTGAAGTTGAATTAGATTAATTTGTTTTACGAAGAAACATTATATTCGAAGTTGCTATTGTTATTGCTGGTTTTAATGAAAATTAAGTCGGATAATTGTGGGAGCATAATAGTATATCCTTGCTAGGTTTTGGAATGCAGCCACCTGGTTTGTGCTGGTTTTTACTGCCACTCGCGTATAATACGGATTCATGTAATACGTGGTTTTATTCGGAGATGAGCGTAATTTTTATCTGGATGAGAAATCTTGAATAGCAAACGAAAAATACGAACAAAGGACTGTTGTAAATAATATACCATATATACTTTAGAATTTTAAAAGTATAATATAGT